GTGCTGTGATACAAGATTATTAACTGTGCAGTTCACCAATCATAAAAAATGTTATACACCTTGAGCGGTTGTGCTCTCACCTGGTGTATATGACCAGACCATTAAGTGAGGTCATAAAAGACTTGTGTCCCTTTAATGGGGCTAAGTAGTAAATGGATGGGATGATCCCTCTTTCCCTGGGATGGATGTATGGACGGAGTGTTACCTCTTTCCAGCAGTGGGTCTCCTCGCTTCCTTATGGATTTTCCTGGAGCCGAATAGATGGACGGGAATATCCCTCTTTCCACTAGGGGGTCTCCTTGCTTCCTTAGGAATTTTTCTCCATAGGTATAATGGCCATGGAATGTAAAAAAAAAATATAGTGCCTTATCCTCTTTAAAACATAATTTATTAAATATAGTAGTGCACTCACATGTATTACAAGTTAAAACTCCCTGATGAAGCCATGTGGCCCGATGGCGTAACACGTAGGGAGGGGCTCTCTGTGGAAACCTTACTGTGGATTCAAATTTTAACATATCAGTGCGGTCTTAACTTGTAATACATGTGAGTGTACGTTAGTGTACTGGTCACTGGGGAGCAGGGCTTCTTTTCAGCAGGAACGCTGTTCAGGCACATCCAGCACTGAATGTATGTAATGGCAAGGGGTGCTGGGGTGTGATGGATGGTCTATAAATGCTAAGGGATCTTTTGTCACTGGTGGAAATCTATTTTTGCATGGGGGTTTATTGTTACAGGGGAATCTTATACCGCTGAGGGGTCAGTTGTTACTGGGAGGGATCTCCTGTTGGGGAAAGAGTCTATTGTTGCTAGCTGCTGGAAGGCCTATTGATGCTGGCTGCTGCCATAACTGTTGTTGCTGATGGGGGTCTATGGTTTCTTGGGTGGTTCTATTGTTGCTGGGGGAGGTCTATTATTGTGTGGAGGATCTATTGTTTCTCGCTGGAGGGATCTACTGTATTTTCTATTGTTGCTGGCTGGAGGGGATCTATTGTATTTTATGGCTTTTCTTGATATCATTAACACATAGTTACATAGTTAGTCTGGCTGAAAAAAGACAAAAGTCCATCCAGTTCAACCATAAAAAAAAAAGGTTATAATCCTATACCCACAGTTGATCCAGAGGAAGGCCAAAAAAAAGACCAGAAAAGCATGATCCAATTTGCTCCTGCAGGGAAAAGAATTCCTTCTTGATCCCCCGAGAGGGAATCTGATATTCCCTGGATCAACTTTACCTATAAATGTTATATTCTGTGTATCTAAGAAAGAATCCAGGACTTTTTTAAAGCAATCCACTGAGCTGGCCAGAACCAACTCTTGAGGGAATCTATTCCACATTTTCACAGCTCTTACTGTGAGGAAACCTTTCCGTGTTTGGAGATTAAGTTTCCTTTCCTCCAGATGTAAAGAGTGCCCCCTTGTCCTCTGTGATGACCTCAGGGTGAATAGCTCTACACCGAGTTCACTATATGAACCACTGATGTATTTATACATGGAGATCATATCCCCCTTATGTATTATACATGGTGATCATATCCCCCCTTATGTATTATACATGGAGATCATATCCCCCTTATGTATTATACATGGTGATCATATCCCCCCTTATGTATTATACATGGAGATCATATCCCTCTTATGTATTATACATGGAGATCATATCCCTCCTTATGTATGTACATTATATCCCCCTTATGTATTATACATGGAGATCATATCCCCCTTATGTATTATACATGGAGATCATATCCCCCTTATGTATTATACATGGAGATCATATCCCCCCTTATGTATTATACATGGAGATCATATCCCCCCTTATGTATTATACATGGAGATCATATCCCCCTTATGTATTATACATGGAGATCATATCCCCCTTATGTATTATACATGGAGATCATATCCCCCCTTATGTATTATACATGGAGATCATATCCCCCTTATGTATTATACATGGAGATCATATCCCCCCTTATGTATTATACATGGTGATCATATCCCCCCTTATGTATTATACATGGAGATCATATCCCCCTTATGTATTATACATGGAGATCATATCCCCTCTCTTATGTATTATACATGGAGATCATATCCCCCTTATGTATTATACATGGAGATCATATCCCCCTTATGTATTATACATGGAGATCATATCCCCCCTTATGTATTATTATGGAGATCATATCCCCCTTATGTATTATACATGGAGATCATATCCCCCCTTATGTATTATATCATATCCCCCTTATGTATTATACATGGAGATCATATCCCCCCTTATGTATTATACATGGAGATCATATCCCCCCTTATGTATTATACATGGAGATCATATCCCCCCTTATGTATTATACATGGAGATCATATCCCCCCTTATGTATTATACATGGAGATCATATCCCCCCTTATGTATTATACATGGAGATCATATCCCCCCTTATGTATTATACATGGTGATCATATCCCCCCTTATGTATTATACATGGTGATCATATCCCCCCTTATGTATTATACATGGTGATCATATCCCCCTTATGTATTATGCATGGTGATATATACATGGAGATCATATCTCCCCTTATGTAGATACATGGAGATCATATCCCCCCTTATGTATTATACATGGAGATCATATCCCATATCCCTCCTTATGTATTATACATGGAGATCATATCCCCCCTTATGTATTATACATGGAGATCATATCCCCCCTTATGTATTATACATGGAGATCATATCCCCCTTATGTATTATACATGGAGATCATATCCTACTTATGTATTATACCATATCCTACTTATGTATTATACATGGAGATCATATCCCCCCTTATGTATTATACATGGAGATCATATCCCCCTTATGTATTATACATGGAGATCAGATCCCCCCTTATGTATTATACATGGAGATCATATCCCCCCTTATGTATTATACATGGGATCATATCCCCCCTTATGATGGTGATCATATCCCCCCTTATGTATTATACATGGTGATCATATCCCCCCTTATGTATTATATCCCCCCATTACATGGAGATCATATCCCCCTTATGTATTATACATGGTGATCATATCCCCCCTTATGTATTTATGTCCTTATGTATTATATACATGGAGTTCATATCCCCCCTTATGTATTATACATGGAGATCATATCCCTCCCTTATGTATTATACATGGATGTATTATACATGGTGATCATATCCCCCCTTATGTATTATACATGATCATATCCCCCCTTATGTATTATACGTGGAGATCATATCCCCCCTTATGTATTATACATGGAGATCATATCCCCCTTATGTATTATACATGGAGATCATATCCCTCTCTTATGTATGTTTTATACATGGAGATCATATCCCCCTTATGTATTATACATGGAGATCATATCCCCCTTATGTATTATACATGGTGATCATATCCCCCCTTATGTATTATACATGGTGATCATATCCCCCCTTATGTATTATACATGGTGATCATATCCCCCCTTATGTATTATACATGGTGATCATATCCCCCCTTATGTATTATACATGGTGATCATATCCCCCCTTATGTATTATACATGGTGATCATATCCCCCCCTATGTATTATACATGGAGATCATATCTCCCCTTATGTATTATACATGGAGATCATATCCTCCCTTATGTATTATACATGGTGATCATATCCCCCCTTATGTATTATACATGGAGATCATATCCCCCCTTATGTATTATACATGGAGATCATATCCCCCCTTATGTATTATACATGGAGATCATATCCCCCCTTATACATTATACATCGTGATCATATCCCCCCTTAATCTCCTCTTCTCAGGAGAGAATAAATTCACATTCCATACAAATTACTTAGCACCAAAAAAATTATACTTGGTTCTGTATTCTCTAAAAGGGGCGGTACTGGGAGGTGGGTAGGGGGTGGAACCAAGAGATGTTACTCAGAGGTGGGTTGGGGGTGGAGACAAGAGGAGACTCAAAAGGTGGGGAGTTCCTGCACCTATTCACTGAGGAAAAAAAAGCCCTGATGGAGAGAATGCTCCTTACACTTTTGGTCAGCCCCCCCATTACAGACAACTAAAAAGATAGCTGGTGTGCGGTTTCTAACAGTATGAGAGGCAGAAATTGCTCAAGGAACCCCTAGCAACCTCTGGAGGAGCCGTAGGGTTTCACAGAACCCTCGCTGAGAAAGGCTGCTTTATAGACTTCAATAGTAACCCACCTAAAACACATGTAAAACGCACCTAAAATCCAATGCACCACAAAGATGTGAACCAGCTCTAATAGCACCAAGATTCCCACCTTTCAGACCTCCTCTAATGCTCATTGACTTAGAACGCTCTCCTGTTACAGAGTCCTCCAGATACCTCCACATCCAGCTTTGTGTGAGAAGTCTCCAGGTGTCAAAACTCACAACTCCGTCCAATATCCTGCTTGGAGCTAGACTTGGAAACCTCCAGTTCTTCTACTTCATCACCTGCCAAAGTCTACAGGACGTTCTTCCAGCTCGGTAACAATGTGCAACAGAAAATTCATTCAACCGAGCCGGAAAATCCAGCTCTGTTTTCCCAAACCAGGTCTACGTCATCCAAGGTGGTGTATGGTTCAATCTATCTACCGAAATATGGAGAACCCAATTAAGGAATATTTAAATATATATAAACCCCAAATCTAAATTTTCATTATGTCTGGCGTCATGCCTGGCTGAATGTAGTTTTTCTAAGGCCTCATTCACACGGGTATTTTAGTGCCAGTAATGGCAAAAAGCCAACGGATTCCTGGGGCTGGATTTAGGTAGTTGCAGCCTCCCGGCCTGTACAAAGTGATAATGGGTGGGCCGCTGCAGCTGTCCGGATGTAATCACACATGGAATGATTACCTGTGGTTGGGGAGTGATGATCACCCCTTGACGCAAGCTTTTTGCATACAGGTGCAAACATACATGGGGAACTTTCGCTCGGATCACCTAGGTGATCTGAGTGGAAGTGGGTGCAGGTACCAATAAAAACTACGTGCCCGCAGGCCTGGATCTAGCCTGTCTGATGTGGGAGTGCAGTAAAAAATGTCAGGGGGGCAGAGGATGGGAGGTCAGCAGGGCACAGGACAGGGGTCACTGCTAGCAGCGCAGAGGACAGGGGTCACTGCTGGCAGGGCACAGGACAGGGGTCACTGCTGGCAGGGCACAGGACAGGGGTCACTGCTGGCAGGGCACAGGACAGGGGTCACTGCTGGCAGGGCACAGGACAGGGGTCACTGCTGGCAGGGCACAGGACAGGGGTCACTGCTGGCAGGGCACAGGACAGGGGTCACTGCTGGCAGGGCACAGGACAGGGGTCACTGCTGGCAGGGCACAGAGGACAGGGGTCACTGCTGGCAGGGCAGAGGACAGGGGTCACTGCTGGCAGGGCAGAGGACAGGGGTCACTGCTAGCAGGGCAGAGGACAGGGGTCACTGCTGGCAGGGCAGAGGACAGGGGTCACTGCTAGCAGGGCAGAGGACAGGGGTCACTGCTGGCAAGGCACAGGACAGGGGTCACTGCTGGCAGGGCAGAGGACAGGAATCACAGCTTCTTCTCCCATCCCTGCACTGCACACTGCCTAAGCACAGGCAGCAGAGCTGTTCCTCCCCACACAATGCATAACTGAGATCAGTGTAGTGTCAGGCAAGGATGGTACAGTATCAGTCTAGGGCGATATAGCGTCAGGCTAGGGCGATGTAGCGTCAGGCTAGGGCGGTGTGTAGTGTCAGGCTACGGCGGTATAGTGGCAGTCAAGGGCGTTGTAGTGTCAGGCTAGGGCGGTGTAGTGTCAGGCTAGGGCGGTGTAGTGTCAGGCTAGGTCAGTATAGTGTCAGGCTAGGTCAGTATAGTGTCAGGCTAGGTCAGTATAGTGTCAGTCAAGGTCGGTGTAGTGTCAGGCTAGGTCAGTATAGTGTCAGGCTAGGTCATTATAGTGTCAGGCTAGGTTGGTGTAGCGTCAGGCTAGGCGGTATAGGGCGGCTATCAGTGTGTCAGGCTAGGTCAGTATAGTGTCAGGTTAGGTCAGTATAGTGTCAGGCTAGGTCAGTATAGTGTCAGGCTAGGTCAGTATAGTGTCAGGCTAGGTCGGTGTAGCATCAGGCTAGGTCGGTGTAGCGTCAGGCTAGGTCGGTGTAGCGCGTCAGGCTAGGGCGGCGGTATAGTGGCAGGCTAGGGCGGTATATAGTGGCAGGCTAGGTCGGTATTGTGTCAGGCTAGTAGGGCGGTATAGTGGCAGGCTAGGTCCGTATTGTGTCAGGCTAGCGCGGTATAGTGGCAGGCTAGGTCGGTATTGTGTCAGGCTAGGGCGGTATAGTGGCAGGCTAGGTCGGTATAGTGTCAGTCAAGGTCGGTGTAGTGTCAGGCTAGGTCGGTATAGCGTCAGGCTAGGGCGGTATAGTGGCAGGCTAGGGCGGTATAGTGGCAGGCTAGGTCAGTATTGTGTCAGGCTAGGGCGGTATAGTGGCAGGCTAGGTCAGTATTGTGTCAGGCTAGGGCGGTATAGTGGCAGGCTAGGTCAGTATTGTGTCAGGCTAGGGCGGTGTAGTGTCAGGCTAGGGTCGGTATAGTGTCAGTCAAGGTCGGTGTAGTGTCAGGCTAGGGCGGTATAGTGGCAGGCTAGGTCAGTATTGTGTCAGGCTAGGGCGGTGTAGTGGCAGGCTAGGTCGGTATAGTGTCAGTCAAGGTCGGTGTAGTGTCAGGCTAGGGCGGTATAGTGGCAGGCTAGGTCGGTATAGTGGCAGGCTAGGTCAGTATTGTGTCAGGCTAGGGCGGTGTAGTAGGCAGGCTAGGTCGGTATAGTGTCAGTCAAGGTCGGTATAGCGTCAGGCTAGGTCAGTATAGTGGCAGGCTAGGGCGGTATAGTGGCAGGCTAGGTCGGTATAGTGTCAGTCAAGGTCGGTATAGCGTCAGGCTAGGGCGGTATAGTGGCAGGCTAGGTCAGTATTGTGTCAGGCTAGGGCGGTATAGTGGCAGGCTAGGGCGGTATAGTGGCAGGCTAGGTCAGTATTGTGTCAGGCTAGGGCGGTGTAGTGGCAGGCTAGGTCGGTATAGTGTCAGTCAAGGTCGGTGTAGTGTCAGGCTAGGTCGGTATAGCGTCAGGCTAGGTCAGTATAGTGGCAGGCTAGGGCGGTATAGTGGCAGGCTAGGGCGGTATAGTGGCAGGCTAGGGCGGGTATAGTGGCAGGCTAGGTCGGTATAGCGTCAGGCTAGGGCAGTATAGTGGCAGGCTAGGTCGGTATAGCGTCAGGCTAGGTCAGTATTGTGTCAGGCTAGGTCGGTATAGTGTCAGTCAAGGTCGGTGTAGTGTCAGGCTAGGTCAGTATAGTGTCAGGCTAGGTCAGTGTAGTGTCAGGCTAGGTCAGTGTAGTGTCAGGCTAGGTCAGTATAGTGTCAGGCTAGGTCAGTATAGTGTCAGGTTAGGTCGGTATAGTGTCAAGCTAGGTCAGTATAGTGTCAGGCTAGGTCAGTATAGTGTCAGGCTAGGTCAGTATAGTGTCAGGCTAGGTCAGTATAGTGTCAAGCTAGGTCAGTATAGTGTCAGGCTAGGTCAGTATAGTGTCAGGTTAGGGCAGTTAGTGTCAAACTGGGACTCACCTAAGCCCCCTCTCGATCCAGCGATGTGCACTGGTGTCTCGGCAATCCTGGAACCTCTCATTGGCTGAGACAAAAGCAGGAGCCATTGGCTCCCACTGCTGTCAATAACAGCCAGTGAGCCAATGAGAAGAGAGGGGGCCCAAACCGTGAATGGACACACGGAGCAGCGGATGCCCCCATAGCAAGCTGCTTGCTGCATGGGCACCTCACAGGAGGGAGGGTCCACGAGTGCCAGCGGGGGACCTGAGAAGAGGAGGATCTGGATTGCTCTGTGCAAAACTACTACAGAGAACAGGTAACTATGATGTGTTTGTTATTTTATTCTTTTTACATTTATGCCTTTAATATCACTTTAATGTATTAGGACTACAGATGACCTCCCCATCTCGGTAAATTTATAAAAGAGGGGAGGCTGAATTGTAGTCAAAGGGAGAACAATGTAACCAATGACTGTCATCAGAGGCAGTGAGCTAAGGACATTATCAGCTCACAGGATTTCTGGCAGGATCAATAAGACATTTTTGCACTTATGTAGCAGATCTAACACAGAAATAAACCTCTTAAGTGGTATATTTAACAGACCAAAAGGGAACATCTAGGAGCCGTTATTTCTCAGTGTTTATGTATACTTCGAGGCCATCGCTTCCCTTTAAATCTGTTATTGTTTAATTGCATTGTGTTTGGTTTTATAGCTCCGCAGAGACAGATACACGGCGTTTTAATTTGCAGATATTGAAGCGTATACAACGCGGAGATGTGCGATGGTTTCCAACATTATTATTATGCAGACATCAAAACATTTTTGATTATCTGCCAAAGTCATCGGAGCACTCGAGCCCCAGGCAGCGGCATGCAAATAAGATGCGGAATTGGCCTCTAGCGCGGCCCAGAACCCCCAGAAAGTGGAAGATAGCGAGTGTGAATGTCTGCAATGTTTTCTGACAAGGCAGGAGATAGGAATTTAAATGTCAAAGTAAAAACGCCTCTCACAATACAAAACAATGAGGGCTTTTGTGAGACAAGCTGGCTCCCTTCATATAGGAGAGAACAATGTGCAGACTGGAACTTTCAATAATGAGCCTTGAAATCCTCTGCTGCTTACCTATTGCTTCATTGTCCCTCATTAATGGATTTACTCTGCAGGATCCTTAATTAAACCCCCTACAACAGTACAATCAGTCTGTATATGCAGGAAAGCATGCTTGTTATACTCACTGTGGGACCTAAGGGGTTAATCCTCTGCATTGTGTAAAAAGGCTGTTTGATCCTGTCTTCTCTGCCCCTCCTCTTGTTCAAATGTCCATGTCTTATCTCCTGATAAGACAAACTGAACCCCTAGCCATTCTACACATGCTCAGTTTAGTGTGTATTGCTAGAGAGGTTGTTTTTTTTTTTTTTTTGCTTACGCACTGTGGAACCTAAGGGGTTAATCCTCTGCATTGTGTAAAAAGGCTGTTTGATCCTGTCTTCTCTGCCCCTCCTCTTGTTCAAATGTCCATGTCTTATCTCCTGATAAGACAAACTGAACCCCTAGCCATTCTACACATGCTCAGTTTAGTGTGTATTGCTAGAGAGGTTGTTTTCTTTTTTGCTTACGCACTGTGGAACCTAAGGGGTTAATCATCTGCATTATGTAAAAACACTGGTTGATCCTGACTTATCTGACCCTCCCCTTCTTCCAGTGTCCACCTGTTATCTCCTGATAAAGACATATTGTATGGAGTCGCTCTGCACATGCTCAGTTTAGTGTGTATTGCTAGAGAGGTTGCTTTTTTTTTTTGCTTACGCACCGTAGAACCTAAGGGGTTAATCATCTGCATTATGTAAAAACACTGGTTGATCCTGACTTCTCTGACCCTCCCCTTCTTCCAGTGTCCACCTGTTATCTCCTGATAAACACATATCATGTGGAGTTGCTCTGCACATGCTCAGTTTAGTGTGTATTGCTAGAGAGGTTGTTTTTTTTTTTGCTTACGCACTGTGGAACCTAAGGGGTTAATCATCTGCATTATGTAAAAACACTGGTTGATTCTGACTTCTCTGGCCCTCCCCTTCTTCCAGTGTCCACCTGTTATCTCCTGATAAAGACATATCGTGTGGAGTCGCTCTGCACATGCTCACTTTAGTGTGTATTGCGAGAGAGGTTGTTTTTTTTTTTGCTTACGCACTGTGGAACCTAAAGGGTTAATCATCTGCATTGTGTAAAAACACTGGTTGATCCTGACTTCTCTGACCCTCCCCTTCTTCCAGTATCCACCTGTTATCTCCTGATAAAGACATATCGTGTGGAGTCGCTCTGCACATGCTCAGTTTGGTGTGTATTGCTAGAGGGGGGGGGTTTCCCCTTGGGAGAGTGCATGTGATCAGTACAGGGCCAATCAGCACTGTCCAGACAGAAGTCAGGGGTTCTGCATCCTCCTAGAGCAGAAAGAAAACTCCTTCTACAAGCTTTAACCAGTGCTCTGCTGAACATTGATAGAAGTCACAAGACCGATCTAACTGAAGATAAGAAAATGTATTTTGCAGTTTATATTTACTAAAATAATTGCATTTCCATGTCCTGTGTACTGTGGGAGACCAGATATAGTGAATGCAGGGTCTGGGGAGACCAGATATAGTGAATGCAGGGTCTGGGGAGACCAGATATAGTGAATGCAGGGTTCGGGGAGACCAGATATAGTGAATGCAGGGTCCGGGGAGACCAGATATAGTGAATGCAGGGTCCGGGGAGACCAGATAAAGTGAATGCAGGGTCCAGGGAGACCAGATATAGTGAATGCAGGGATCGGGGAGACCAGATATAGTGAATGCAGGGTCCTGGGAGACCGGATATAGTGAATGCAGGGTCCAGGGAGACCAGATATAGTGAATGTAGGGTCCGGGGAGACCAGATATAGTGAATGCAGGGATCGGGGAGACCAGATATAGTGAATGCAGGGATCGGGGAGACCAGA